CCATCTTTGATGACAGACTTCAAGAGAATGTCAAATAATCCATCAACATGCTTGGCAAAAACGTTTCTTATATGAAAAATAGGCACGCAGTGCGTACATGTTCGGACATGCAATGTCTGAGGAAGGAGTTTTGAAGTGATCCTCCATCATTTTATTTCAAATATGAAGAATGGATATGTAAATATAAAATCAACTACTAAAATTAATTTATTGAAAGAAAGTGAGGCTTTGAAAAAAAAGTCAAGAAAGTTTATTTTAAGTTTGATACCTTGGAGTTTTTCAGAAGTGGTTTCATGAGCACTTGTTGTGTTTTGAGTATTTTCAATTTATTTGTATTTCGGTCAAGGATGTATGAAAGCATTGGGTAATGAAGAGTTTCTTAATACCTGTGTTTCTTTAACAACATTCCCATACAAATTATACATGCATCAACACAACAATTTAAACAATGGCTTGGAATAGTTCTTGATTTGCCGGAGGATGTCTGAAGGCATGAGGAATAAACAGTGTCTTTATACCTGTGTGTCTTCAAGAACATTCTAGTATGAAGTTATACATTTATGAACAGAACAATGTAAACAAAGCTAATAAAAGTCATCAGTTAATCAGATATGGTTTAGTAGTTTGTAGTAGCTTGTTTATTAATACCAATTGCAGCCATGAGGCTGGATTACAGGTACAGCGCAGCACCCTAATTAACAATACTATGTGCATAACGAAACATTGCAAAATCTTTAAACCTATTAGTATTAACAATAACCTTGTGTTGAAGCTGGTGCCTTAGATTGTATTTTGATTCATTATTAACCCACAACCCCTCACATATGGGAAGCAATGGGTTGCCAGATTTAACGCTTTTCATGAAATTGACGCACAACTCAGCCCTACGAACTTCCAACGGCGCAAGGCCGGACTGACACAGCGCTTCCTGGTACGATACTCCAGGCAAAATAATTCACAATGCACGCTTTTACTTTCTTTCTAGAGCGCAGCATAGAACTGCGGGCAGGTCTGAAAATAAAGGTGACGTGTATTCTACAACAGAATGGATGACTGCGCAATATATGTTTACCATGTCTGGCACACTAACACCTGATCACCTAAGAGCCCTTAGTATATATAACCTTCTGTTGGCTTTCTTCAGGATGTAGTCGACGTGAGTGAACCATGTCAAGTTACGCCAGATATACACTCCAAGCAACTTGAATAACGCAACACGCTCCACGATTTCATTCCCAACAACAATGGGATGCAGCACACAACTATTATACTGCAGAAAGTCAACACTCATTTCCTTACATTTGCTCGGATTAAGGGTCATATTGATTGTGACAGCGTACTGATTTATGTCTTGAACAATAAAATTAAGAACCAATGGTGAGTTCCTAGGAACTATTTCTACAACTGACAGGTCATCAACAAACTTAGCTCTAGGTGACCATGACGATACTAGGTCATTAACCATTACTGCAAAAAGTAACGGGCCAATCTTCGTCCCTTGGGAAATCCTCCATTCAAAACCATAGACGAGGTAGCAGGCGAGATAGTAACAAACTGAGACCTACCCTGGAGGAAACATGCAACCCACTGTAACAAACCATTATGGAGATCAAACTGAGCAAGTTTACGTAGTAAGATCTGGTGGTCTATGAGGTCGAAGCCTTTCCGAAAATCTGCAAAGAACAACCTTGCTAAGCAACCACCCTTATCAAGGGACTTGAGAATTATGTGCAAAATGTATGCTAATACGTGAGATTATTAATTATAGGGCGAGAAATTCTAGAAAGGGTGAAACCCTCCATAACTTTAGCTAACTGACAAGTTAATGACACAGGTCTTATATCATTTTTGATTGACATAGGGGGCATCTGCTTAGGTAAGGGTCTGACATCTGCGGTAAATAACTCTCCATAAGGGACGAATTGTACAGATGGGCGACAACAGGAGCAAGCTCGAAGTCAAACCTCTTAAGTACAACGTTCGGTATACCGTCGGGACCCGGGGATTTCCTGATCTTAACCCCACGAAGTGCAATACCAGCTTCCCTAGGAGTTACAAAGAGCTCACTTGGAATGTTTCTATGATCAACCTCGATATCCATGACATCAGCAGGCGTGAGTGGCACAAAACCAGATGTGAGCTCAGCGAAAAACTTGTTGATCTTTCCGTACAGAGACTCGGTGGTTGAACAGTCTAACAATTGGTAAAACCATGACCTATTACTTCCAGATGACCCAGCAAGGTACTTAACGTCTTTCCACCACTTACTAGCATTAGACTCTCTCAGGTGCTTAACTTTTCCATGGTAAAAAAACCCTCTTGGCGTACTTGACCGATCTTTGGACCTTGTTATGTAACAACTTGAACAGAGGAGAGTCTTTTCCGTGCTTGGCCAAACATCTCTGCCTCTTAGATATTAATGCCTTAATTTGACCAGTCATCCATGGCTTATCTGAGCTATGAACACAGTGGAGTTGAACCGGTAGGAAGCGTTCGACCGCCTTGTGGAGATTTTGGTAGAAATACTTAAACTTCTCCTCACATGAGTCCAATGTGTAAAGATCGTCCCAAACAAATGACGTAATCCAACCACCACCTTGACGGACAAGAAGATGGTATGACGAGAGCGACTAGAACAGAATAATGGTCACTGGCCCCGATTTTTGGTAAAACCTTAGGGGAGTTGGTCAGGCACTGGGCGTAATGGAAATTGTTTCCTCACAACAGAAGCAGTTTTATTTCTGCCAACATTAAACTGTGTATTTATGGGTTTCACTGGTGTCCATGCCTTATCAATGCCTTGAGTATACAGTTGCATGTTTTCTTGACGGGTTTTTCTACCAATACACTGCTGATCAAATTGAACCCAGATAACTCCATGAGGATGTGGAGGATTATACAGAGTTACTTTTTTAACAACATTACCAGTGCCGTTAGTTATGCCATCATCAAGACAAACATTTAGAGCAATTTCTGTCCTTTCACCAATTGCAATACACAAGTGAGTACGTAACTGTTTTGTTCTTTTTGGGTCATCCACTGGGATCTGTTTTAATATTTGCTCCTTAAGTTTTTCTGTATGAGCACCTATCACACTGTCGGTTGCCTGTTTAACAAATTTTGGACCAGGTGCTTTATTGTGCATTAATAAATCGAATTCTTCTATTCTTTTATTTTGCATAAATAAATGAGGAATATGATTCAATGCTTCAGATTCAGTTTGGCTGATAAAAATCCTCTCTTTTAGTTTATTAATATCTTCGTGAGTTTGTAGGCCTTCTCTGAGGCGACTGAGAATCTGTGCAATAGTTTTGCTCTCCTTCTGTCTCATAA